ACAATGCTAACCAGCATATATACATTTTCTTCTGTCCTCCATGGACAGGGTTAGAGAAGTGTTAAACATATAGTTCAAGGGTTTATTGAACACTCAACCACAGAAGGTGATTCGGTGCTTTTAAAATGCTAAGCTAACCTACATACGTAAATACATAGATACACAGATCTACGTATGCCCTACATAAAGTGTTTGATGTGTCTTTTACATAGTGTCATTAATGTACATTCACAAAGGTGAAATGTAATTCTGATCAGCTTCCATATATACTTTATACCCATACATATACATACACACACACATATACATACATATATACACACACATGCATTCACATACATTTGTCTCATTTACTCTGACAAGGTGAGATAGCTGATAAAGAAACTAGTGTGCAATTAAGCACTTAATCACTGAAGGTGATGAAGGTGCTTTTACAAGCTCAGGTTATATAGTTACATCATATATATACATTGTATAATTGATATATTACATGGTCAATCTTGGATACAAGTCCAATATATCACCAAGTGTTCCAGTAATCATATAGTAATTACACAGTTCCGCATACCTCAGCCCAGGAGGGCGAAAGTTAGTCAGTATGGGACATTCTACAATATAATGTTCAAGAGAGTGCATGTTTTCTCTTTCACAAAGTTGACACATTGTGTACTCGACATTTGGGTTTTGAGAAAGCTGCCAGATACGTCAATATCCCAGGCGTATTCTGGCCACTATAACATCACATTGCCGGGTTCTTGTTCTATTAGTCCCATATGTGAATGTCTCCTCACGATATCTCTCATAATATTTAATGCTACAACTTTCAGGTCTTTGAGAATTTGTTAGGTCGTTGAGATTTTCATTAGATATTTGTTTAAGTATTCTCTTTGTCACTGCTAATGAAACACCCATATCAATTTCTACCACTGGTTTTCTGCAGGCTGTCTTAGCAAGCATATCAACAGTGTCATGCCTTGAGATGCCAACATGTGATGGTATCCATAGGAATTTAATCTCAAATCTGTTTTCTTTTGCAGCTAAAACATTCATTCGAATATCACTAACTATTTTCTGGGTGTCACTACTATGTGCGTTCAATGTCAGGAGTGCACTCTGCGAGTCACAGTATATAAGTCCACTGCCTTTGTCTTTTAAAAATTCAGTGGCAAGGTATATGCCTGCAAGTTCGGTTTGAGCTTTCTAGTGTGTGGTCTGGTCAACTCTCTTTAGTCTTTATAGGGAGGTAGTTTCCCCTTCATCGTGTTCAACTCCAATAGCCATTTTTCGAGCCAAATTTGCAGCTTGAGTCATTTTGGAGACTCTTACACTTGGTTGGTTGATACCTGGTTGATGGGGTTCTGGGAGTTCTACTCCCTAAGCCCGGCCCGAGGCCAGGCTTGACTTGTGAGAGTTTGGTCCACCAGGCTGGTTTGGTCCACTTCTCATCTGTCGCAAATCATCGTCGTTAGTTTTGCATCGTCTGCAAACATAGATATATAAGACTCGACTGCTATAGATAGGTCATTGAATGAGGAATTGTTGTTGGTCGCAGTACCGATCCTTGAGATGCTTCGCTTGTTACCCTGCGTCAGTCCGACTCCTCGTCGCCCCCTCACACTCACTCTCTGACTCCTGCCCGTTAGGTAATTCAGTACCAATTTTAGTGTTTTCCCACTTGCTCCCGCCTGCCTCTCAAGTTTGTATAGTAATCTCCCGTGCGGTACTGTAGCAAAGGCTCTTTGGTAGTCCAGAAATACGCAGTCTGCCCCAGCTTTCTCTGTCTTGCCTTCGTTACTTTGTTATAGAAGTCTATTAGATATGTCAGGCATGATTTCCGTGGATTTGTTCATGATTTCCCTTCCCTAGAGCCATGTTGATGTGTGCTTACATACCTAATTGTCTCTAGGTGTGTAACTAGTCTTATCTTCAGTACTTGGAGTACTTTGCAACCGAAGTTTGTCATAGGGTGACACTGGTCTGTTGTTAATTTTGTAGGTGGTTATCATGTCTCCCCCACCCTTACTCTTCTGTTTTCCAGGGATGTGAGGGAGTGTGAGTGTGGAGAGTGGGAGGGAGTGTGTGCGTGCGTGCGTGTGGTGCACGAGCGCATGAGGTAATGAACCAGTAGGATTTTCCCAGCGAGGGAGGATGATGGTGGTGAAGATCCCAGCGTCTCCCTCCTGCTGTTATCTCCCGTTTCTGGGGACTCGTTCGAGGCACACAAGCAGTGTCACGTGTTGCAAGGTGTTGCAGGTGTCTTGCAAGATATTTCTTGTATTGCTGGTGTCTTCCATACGAGGCAGCTCCTATTGGCCCATACAATAGGGAGGAAAAAAAAAACAATATTTTGTGTTTTTTTTTTATTTCTTGAATTGCTTTCTGTTCTTGTTACCTTTCTTAAGTCTGATAGGAATGCTTCAGTCTCTGTTCGATTTCTTTAATCTCCCTCTTTATAAATTATTCCTTCTTTGTATGGAAAGTCGTGTCTGCTTAAGCATTTCCGTTGATTTTTTCCTTCTTTTGTAGTGTCGTCTGCGTTCTCTTTCTGGCTTTCCTCAAAGGAACATCTTTCATCAGTTTTTTCTATTCCTTGTGTAAGATTTTTATTACTTAGAACATTTTCCCACTGAATGGTTGTACGTTCCATATTTATTTTCTTCCAGTCTATCATTTTATTATTAAAAATTTAATTTATTGAATAACCCTTCTCGCTTGTTGTTTCTCTTGGGCCTACTACCGTTATTAACGTTAGTTTGCACTTCAATGAGCTTGTGGTCCGAGTACGTAGTGTCTGAGACAGTAATGTCTCTGATTAGCTCCTCATTGTTCGTGAATATCAGGTCCAGCGTGTTTTCGTTCCTAGTTGGTTCTGTAATCTGCTGACTGAGCGAGAATTTGTCACAGAATCTCAGTAGTTCTCTGACCTCTGGTTGGTTATTTCCAGATTGATTTCCTGCTATAATGTTATTGTTTACTATTCTCCATTTTAATCTGGGTAGATTGAAGTTTCCAATGAAGATAATATCTGGTACTGGGTCTCCTAGGTTATCAAGGATGTTCTCTATTTTGTGGATCTGTTCAGTGAATTCCTCAACTGTGGCATCTGGCGGTTTATATGTTAGAATAATAATTAGATTTATATTTTCTACCTTGATTCCAAGTACCTTTACCACCTCATTGGTCAAGTTCAAGAGCTCTGCGCATGCAAGTTCCTCTTTAATATACAGACCTACTCCACTTGACCTAATTACTCTGTCACATCTATATAGATTATAATTTAGGATCCAGATTTCACTATCCATGTAGTCTTTTGTGTGGGTCTGTGTAAATGCACCAAATATTGAGTTCGATTCTGTTAGAAGGCCATTTATGAACTTAACTTTATTTCTTGATTTTGACTTTAGGCCTGGTATGTTTGCAAATATGAGTGATTTCCCATATTGCGTGTCAATTCTGGTGGGCTTAGGTAGTTCTCCCACCTCTTAACCCTGGTCCAGGGTGTCTTGTTTTGGTAGTGGTTCGTCCAGTGTTGGTAGTAGTTCGTCCAGTGTTGGTAGTAGTTCGTCCAGTGTTGGTAGTAGTTCGTCCAGTGTTGGTAGTAGTTCGTCCAGTGTTGGTAGTAGTTCATCCAGTGTTGGTAGTAGTTCGTCCAGTGTTGGTAGTAGTTCGTCCAGTGTTGGTAGTAGTTCGTCCAGTGTTGGTAGTAGTTCGTCCAGTGTTGGTAGTAGTTCGTCCAGTGTTGGTAGTGGTACGTCCAGTGTTGGTAGTAGTTCGTCCAGTGTTGGTAGTAGTTCGTCCAGTGTTGGTAGTGGTTCGTCCAGTGTTGGTAGTGGTACGGGTGTTGTGTGGTGTAGTACCTGTGTATTTGTTGATGACTCGTATTCCAGTCTTGTGGGTATCTCCCTCCCCTCTCTGTAATCCTGCAGTGGTTCTATCTGCCTGTTCCTCTCTCTTATATGTTTTACTCTGTTTCTGCCTTCCTCTAAAAAAAAATCCAGTAGCATCATATTGGCCCATACGAGGCAGCACCTATTGGCCCATACGAGGCAGCACCTATTGGCCCATAAGAGGCAGCACCTATTGGCCCATACGAGGCAGCACCTATTGGCCCATACGAGGCAGCACCTATTGGCCCATACGAGGCAGCACCTATTGGCCCATACGAGGCAGCACCTATTGGCCCACACGAGGCAGCACCTATTTATATATGTCTCAAGCTCATTCACATGTGTCTAACCTGCGCTGGAAACAATTCAGCGAATCCATGTCGACTGTATTAACTGTAATAGAGGTACAGGCTCTCTACACTGAGGTACAGACCCTATACTGAGGAGGGGGGGGTCTGAGAGTATGGTGGTGGTCTGAGAGTATGGTGGTGGTCTGAGAGTATGGTGATGGTCTGAGAGTATGGTGGTGGTCTGAGAGTATGGTGGTGGTCT